CAGTGGTAACTAGACCTGTTGCTGAAAAGCTCTCAGATCCCGGGAGTTTTACTATTCCATGTAGTATTGGAAACTTTGCTTTTGCGAAAGCACTCTGTGATTTAGGGGACATCATTAATCTTATGCCCCTGGTCATTTACAAGAGGTTGGGCATTGGGAGAGCTAGACCCACCTCTATGCTGTTGCAGCTGGCTGACAGGACTGTGAAGCGTCCATTTGGGATCCTTGATGATGTACTTATTCAGGTGGGGAAGTTCGTGTTCCCTGTTGACTTTGTGATACTGGATTGCAAAGTAGATGAAGAAATTCCTATCATCTTAGGAAGACCATTCTTGGCCACAGGGAGATCTCTTATTGATTGCAAGACCGGGGAGCTTAAGATGAGGCTCAATGACGAAGAGATTATATTCAATGTGCAGAAATCTATGAGGCGCCCAAGTGAGTTCGCAAATTGCTCTCTTATTGATGCCGTGGATGTAATCGTTCAGTCTAAGGATGAAGTGTTGACGATTGAGGATCCCCTCGCTGCATGTTTGACGAATTTGGAGGAAGTGAACGGTGAGGACTTGGCAGAATGGGTGTTGACATTGGAAGGTAGAGGGTTTTGGGAAAGAAATCTAGAGTTTGAGCCCCTACACTTAGAAAAGAGGGAGACTCCTCCAGCTAAGCCATCCATTGAAGAACCACCGAAGCTGGAACTAAATCCATTGCCAGGCCACCTCAGGTATGAATTTCTGGGACCTAACTCCACCCTACCTATTATTATCTCATCTGGTTTGTTAGATGTGCAGGTCCAACAACTTCTACAGGTATTGAAGGAGTGCAAAACTGCCATTGGGTGGACCATGGCAGACATCAAGGGGATCAGCCCCGCGTACGGCATGCATAAGATTCTGCTGGAAGAGGGGCACAAACCTTCCAGGGAACATTAGAGGAGGCTGAAGCCGAATATGAAGGAGGTGGTGAAGAAGGAAGTGATAAAGTGGCTAGATGCAGGAATTATTTTCCCAATCTCTGACAGCAGCTGGGTTAGCCCAGTTCAATGTGTGCCTAAGAAGGGTGGCATGACGGTTGTGAAGAATGACAA